ACTTTATAGCTTATTGATGATCATTTCCGGGTTACTGATGAATTTTCTAAATGTAAACGATAGTTTTAAAAGCATTTTATATTCTGCAAAATGTATAAATTAAAACAAGAGCTATCTTGATTTAATAAAAAGAAAATTTTAATTATGAATAATATTGATAAATATTACATTGATTTAATTTTAAATGACCAAGATAGTCAGTTAAATCTGCTGAATCTACATCTAAGTTATTTACTTCTTTTTGTAAATTAGTTGTCTTGGTTTTGAGTGTCGAAGATCATTAAAACATTATACATATGACCTTCACAAGGAACAGGGGAACTCCCATGCATGTTTCATATATATGAAATCCCGGTGTTGAAGGATTTTTATCTGATATAATCCAATTAGGAAATACACTCCTCAACAGTTTACACATCTAACAGTTTACACATCTAACAGCTCATGGACTGACCAAGATTACGAATCCATTACTGTTCAAATGGTTCTAAGATAAGGACCAATGTGATACATGATCCTATGGACACTAGGCCTCAATAATACCGACCAACTATAGCTCCTGGCAGATCGATAACAGCACATCACCGGTAACTTCAGAGATGTTCTTTACTGGAAACAAAATCGACAGTTTGTGCTCTTTAAAACTCCATTACACCAACATCACTAATCCATCCACATTTACAACTGCCTTGGACACTGCCAAACATAACACCTATGACAAAAACAATCCAGATTATGCCTCTGTGACCCGTTTAATCTGCTCACTGAACAATTAATAACAAGTTTGAACATAGAAGAAACACAATGCGATGAGCTTGTATACCATAGTTGAAGCTTCAACGGTGTCACTAATGTGTCAAGAATCATCCAAACACCCATTATGTCCCATGGCGCTCGATGAGCAAATAGAAAAAAGCGAAAAAATTTCATCGATTCCTCTCTTTCCTCAAACTCTTCTTCTTCTTCAGCTAACTACAAACCCCTGGCTACATTGACCGAATACGTTTCACGAGATGTCTTCCACACCAGTATGAGACATTGCGCTTAGCAATGTGTTTGAAAGTATGGAATTGATTCTCTTCTACCGTGCGCGGGCTCACTCTTACAGGTAATATTAAATCCTTTTGCGTTTTGTAGTTAACGCAGAGTTTTGTAAGTTCAGTTGCTGCTCTTTTCTTCTCCATAGGGTTGTGACTCTACTACATCACTCACATACTTGGAATATGATATAAACGACTTTGACAATATGTGTAGTTTCATCAACGTAGATGAATCCGTTGTGTGTGAAATGTCCCATTGTAACGTGAAAAATTTTCCCTTCTGGTGCATCTAACAAGGTCGGCCGTATATATTGATAAAGACCTGGAAGAACATAATGGCTCCAAGATGTATGATGAATACGTTGTTAAGGAGAGGCAGTGCTTACACACGGTGTCTTCATTCACAACATCCCCCTGATATTTACACTCCCATTGCTCAACCAGTTCTGGCACCAGTTCCTGTCTCTGTCCCGAAGAAGAACAGTTCAAAGAAGTACAAACGACTCAGCAGAAGACGTCGAGGGAAAGTGGATCCAGTATCAAGTGAGGGTATCATCAATCATGACCTTTTATCCATCTCAGAAAGCTACAGTACAATCCTAATACCGGAAGCATTAATCGAGCACTACTATCATCGCGAGAACAGTCGCATTGTGGAGAGTTTGGAAATAATTAAGGTCATCAGCACAGGACATGGCGTTGGCATATGTTCTCTTGAACAAGGTGAAGGTAGAATGATTGTCATGGTGCCCTTCACCACTGTTGGTGATATCGTCAAAGTCAAACTTGGGAGACACCATTCTGTATACGCTGAAGGTGAGATCATGAGTGTGTTGGTACCCTCATCGCTGAGAGACGACTCGTTAATCAGATGTAAAGAATTTGGCAAATGCTCCGGATGTCAATTGCAGATGATTCCGTATCAAGAACAACTTTCATTCAAAACAGAAGTTGTAAGGAATGCATACAGACAGTTTGGTTTTGCTGTTGATGACTTGCCCATTGAAGGAACCGTTGCATCTCCATTGCAATACAACTACAGGACTAAACTAACGCCACACTTTGGTTCTAGAAGGGATAAGATCACACTTGGCTTTGAGTCAAGTGGCACGAGGAGGCTCTTTGACTTGAAACAGTGTTCTATTGCCACTGAAGTATTGAATGGTGCCTTGCAGAATGATAGGGATGAATTAGAAACCATTGTGAAAAAATACAAGAAGAGTGGAACAGTTCTCTTGAGAGATAAGTCTGTAAATGGCATGAGAGGGTATACCACCAATCATACAGAAGTTATCACACAACAGATCCAAGATTACAAATTTCAATTCCCAGCTGGAGAGTTTTTCCAGAATAACAATTCGATTCTACCTGTTCTGCTAGCCCATATAAGGACTTTCTTGAGACCTGGACTGCACAAGACCATTGTTGACACGTATTGTGGATCTGGATTCTTTGGGATTTCTCTAAGCAAAGGAATGGAGAGACTCATTGGGATCGAGATATCTAAAGGCTCACTGGAGTTTGCAACGAGAAACTCACAGTTGAACAATCTTCGCAACGCAGAATTCCTTCTCGGCTCAAGCGAAGAGATATTCAAGGGACTGGACAACGTCGACCCAGGCGAAACAGTCGTGATTCTCGACCCCTCAAGGAAGGGCTCAAACCACGATTATCTGAACCAATTGGCAAAGTTCAAGCCAAGTCTCATTGTGTACGTATCGTGCAATGTACATAGCCAGGCAAGAGACCTACAGTACTTGCTCAACAACACCGAGAATGGAAACCAATACGAGGTTTCAGTCATCAGAGGCTACGACTTCTTCCCACAAACAAAACACGTTGAATGCCTTGCAGTGCTACAATTGAAGCAATGAACAAATAGACACCATAGAAGCTCATCACGTTGTAGAATAGCGTAGGCTTTAATTAGCAAGCAGCCTGCCTCTGCGCATCTTAGCTGCGATGAGCTCGCGCGTAGGCAGCGTAGGCAGCGTAGGCAGCACACACAGCGCAGCGTAGGGAGCGTAGGCAGCACGCGCAGGCAGCGCAGGCCCAAGCGGCCTACCGTCCGCCCACCGCCACGGGCCTGTGAACGGCACTTTGCCAAATTTTTTTGGGCCTGCGTGGGCCAGTTAAGCCAGGCAGAAAGAGATACCGAATCCATCATTCCACCCCCTTTCTCCCCTTTGTAAAGCAGAATCCATTGCTAGATCAAGGAAGGATGGACTTGTCAAAGGACCTATCACAGGTTTCAATTGACCAGCCTGAGGATAAATCGTTCGAACATGGCGACTACGCTGGTGAACTGGAGGATTACGACGATGCCTTATCGCATTCCACCAACTTCTCGTATGCTGAGGAGAAGACCATCAACGACCAAGACGCTAAGATGAGGGCCTTTGAAGAGATTCCACTTCAAAGAGATTCCAGTAAGAAGACGGTGAAGTCGAGACGTTCCTCATCTGCGCTTTTCAGCCATCCACCACCGCCACCAGTGACAAAGCCCAAAATTGCTGTCTCTCCGAAGCTGGTGCCAAAGAAGCCGTTGAAGCTTTCGAATTCTTATAAACTAGGGGGCAGAAATGAAGGTGTTGAGGAACATGACCACGAGACAGACGACATTCCCTCGCCAGAATTGGTTGAGCTGTATGGTCATATCAAGACATGCCGTGAGTTGAGAAAGAAGTACCAGACTGTGTCATACCAATACCCTGAACAGAACCCAAAGAACCAGGACGACTGGCAGATCTACCCTCCACCTCCAAGACCAACCTATGATAACAAAAAGATCCTCCCTGAGTCAGCTCAACCGGATTCAAAGACCTTTGACATTTCTAAATGCCACATTCCACCAGCTGATGAGACCGTGGCTATCGGCAACAACAGCGATGACGTTCTGCAAGTCATTGACTCAGATGGAAAGCCATTGGCCACTGACATTCCGACGTTGAGGGACTATTACATGGATATGGAGAAGATCATCTCCATATCCTCGGATGGGCCTGCTAAATCGTTTGCCTTTAGAAGACTGCAATACCTTGAGGCACGTTGGAACCTGTACTACTTGTTGAACGAATACGAGGAAACAAGTGTCAGCAAGAAAAACCCACATAGAGACTTTTACAACGTTAGAAAGGTCGATACCCACGTTCATCACTCAGCTTGTATGAACCAGAAGCACCTGTTACGGTTCATCAAGCATAAGATTAAGAACTATCCAACTGAAAAGGTTATCTTCAGAGATAACAAAGTGCTGTCTTTGGAAGAGGTTTTCCAGTCTCTTAACTTGACTGCCTATGATCTGTCCATCGATACGTTAGATATGCATGCTCATAAGGATACTTTCCACAGATTTGACAAGTTCAACCTCAAGTACAACCCAATTGGCGAATCCAGATTGAGAGAGATCTTCCTCAAGACTGATAACTACATCCAAGGTCGGTACCTTGCAGACATCACCAAGGAGGTGTTTAGCGATTTGGAGAACTCCAAATACCAGATGTGTGAATATAGAATCTCAGTTTATGGCCGGTCCATCGATGAATGGAGTAAATTGGCTGCTTGGGTAATTGATAACAAGCTACTCAGCAACAACGTCAGATGGCTGGTTCAAGTTCCAAGATTGTACGATGTCTACAAGAAAACTGGGCTGGTTAAAAGTTTCCATGAGATCATTAGAAATTTGTTCCAGCCTTTGTTTGAGGTTAGTATCGATCCTTCAAAGGATCCTAAGTTGTTCGTCTTCTTGCAAAGAGTTATTGGATTCGATTCCGTTGATGATGAGTCTAAGGTGGACAGAAGATTCTTCAAGAAGTATCCAATTCCATCGTTATGGGATGCTCCTCAGAATCCTCCTTACTCCTACTATTTGTACTACCTCTATGCAAACTTGGCCAATTTGAATAGCTACAGAGTCAAGCGTGGGTTCAATACTTTTGTCCTAAGACCACATTCTGGTGAGGCTGGTGATCCAGAGCATCTGATCAGTGCTTACCTAACGTCGGAAGGTATCTCGCACGGTATTCTGTTGAGAAAGATTCCATTTGTTCAATACCTGTACTATTTGGATCAAGTTGGTGTTGCCATGTCGCCATTATCAAACAATGCCCTTTTCCTCACCTATGACAAAAACCCATTCCCTTACTATTTCAAGAGAGGGTTGAACGTTTCGTTATCCACAGATGATCCTCTGCAGTTCTCATACACTAGAGAACCTTTGATTGAAGAGTACTCTGTTGCAGCGCAGATTTATAAGCTTTCCAATGTTGATATGTGTGAATTGGCCAAGAACTCCGTGGTTCAAAGTGGATGGGAGAGATGTATCAAAGAGCACTGGATCGGACAGGATTATTCAAGAGGAGGCATTGAGGGTAATGACGTGGAAAAGACCAACGTTCCTGATATCAGAGTTGCTTATAGAGAGGAGACTTTACAGACAGAGTACGATCTTATCGAGTACTACTCTAGTATGTGTCTTGAAGGTTAGATAAACGTCGTAACTATCGTTTCAGCTGTTTTTATCCGCGTGTGTTTGCTCTCATGTATGTACAAGAAGCTAGAGTTAATCAGTCCATTCTCTAGGGTTTTGTAGCACCTCCAGCAGCTGCTCTTCTCTGGAGCCCTTTTCTGGATGGTGGTCGTACTTCCAGCCTGCAGTGGCTGGTAGTGACATCAAGATACTTTCAACTCTTGAACCTGGGGTTTGTAAGCCGAATTGTGTACCTCTATCCAAAACCAAGTTGAATTCAACGTATCTTCCTCTTCTCAGCTGTTGCCAGTACTTCTCCTCCTGTGTGAATGGCTGGTCTTTTCTCTTTGCTATGGTTGGGACATAGGATGGCAGGAAGGCATCAAAGCAGTCCTCGACAATCTTGAGGATCTCCTCTGGATCTCTGTCGTCAAAGTCATCAAAGAAGATACCACCGATACCACGTGTCTCGTTTCTATGGTTGATGTAGAAGTACTCGTCACACCACTTCTTGTACTTTGGATACAGGGCCGTGTCGTGCTTGTCCAGTGCGTCCTTGTGACACTTGTGGAACAGCTTCGCATCCTCTTCATACAAGTACGAAGGCGTCAAGTCCGCACCACCACCAAACCACCAGGTCTGTGGAGTGCCATCCGGGTTCCATGTCTCAAAGTAACGGTAGTTCAGGTGGGTTGTTGGAGCATGAGGGTTGTGTGGGTGAATAACCATACTGAGGCCGCATGCGTAGAAGGGCACGTTCCCATCCTCCTGAGTCTGCAAGTTCTTGTGATCAGCCCTCATTCTGTCAACAGCCTTTGGAGGAAGCGATCCGTACACAACAGACACATTGACACCGCCCTTCTCAAACGTCTTACCGTTCTCAATCACACACGAGACTCCTCCGCCAAGTTCTTCACCACGACTCCATGAATCTGCATGGAATTTGGCACCGTCCTCCGGCTCCAGGGTCTCCAAGCCCTTGGTGATCTCCTGCTGTTTACGGCGAACAAGTGCCTCCATTCTCTCACGGATTGGCGCGTGCTCCTTGCTGGTCTTCTGAAACGACATCTCTCTCTAATTGTTCAACGATTGTTGCTCTTTTGTTGTTGATTCAAGCGCTGGGACATTTGGTAGCGACGGAGGATTTTGTCCGCCTTTTTAAGCTTAAATTTTCGAAACTTTATCAGGCGATTTTGCTCTCCCCGGCAACGCGAGCAAAGTCATCACCTGAAAAACGTCGCAGTGCTCATCGTCGATGCTTAAACGAGCACAAGTTCTGGATGCGGATCACCAGTTACAGTGGCCTGTGGCCTGTGTGATGGATGCTACAGGCTGTTGAGAGGGCTTTGGTTTTGTTCGTTTAAAGTGTCATCATTTATTTTACGATTTGTGGCTTCATAAGTCACCTGTAACGGCGCTGATATATGTAGTCTTTGTTCTTTTTAAATGCTGTAGACGGACTTCTTCATCTGCTCCAGCTTCTCACGCTTACTCTCTCTTCTCACACGGTTGTACAGCAACACGTTCTCGTCGAATATGAAATCGACAATCACCATGATCCAGGAGTCGTGTTTCGGCAAGGGCTCGTAAAACTCACTGGCGATTCTGTTGAGCTCGTATAGCTTGCTCCATGCAATGTATGGGAAATCGTGGTGCTCGTTGTGGAGACCAACGTTCCAGGTGAAGAAGTTCAAGATCCCGTAGTAGGAGTACGTCTCAGGTGGTGGGGCATCGGTGTGACGGTCATAGTGCTCTGGTGGGTCCAGAATGTAGTGCTCTGCGATGAAGTGTCCTGAACATGGGTGCAAGGAGCCCGCTAAGAATGAGGAGAACAGAAAGTACAGGAACGACTTGAACCCCCAGTATTTGATGATGAGGTAGTCCACGAGAAACTGCACAATGACGTTCAACAGATGGATATAGGTGAATTTGATCTGAGTGATGAACATCGGTCTCAAGGCGTAGAAGAAGATTTGGAACGTTGCAAAAAAGGCCTTACCCAGAACGTTACTCAGGACCGCGGCCTCGTAGTATGTTGGGAGATCGGTGTCCAACACCTCATCTCCTTGGTACTTATGGTGGAGCTGGTGATAAGGCTGGAAGGAAGCCGAGTATGGGATTCCAATAGGTATGTTCGTGAATATGGCAAACAGCTTGTTGTACAGTGGTTTCTTGAAGGCCAAGTTGTGGCTGAGCTCATGGATCGCAAGAAAAACGTTCTGGTTGGCAGTGGCACCAATGATATAGGACAAGAGGAAGAATCTCCAGGAGAAGAAGCTCTTATCCCTCAGATAGTAAGCAATGGACAACTGTAACGCAACGACACCGCACACGATATACTTGGTCAGAGGTTCAGGCCCACATAGCTTGGTCACGTGCGGGTACTTCTTCAAGATCTCCTTTCTGCGCTGAGCATGTGGTTCCTCAGTATCAGTCCAATAGAAGTCGTTCAGCTTCTCGATAGGTGCATCCGATGGAGGCGACTCCACATGTATCTGTTCTGCCGGGTTCTTTCTGTGTATAATGGTCGTCATCGTGGTGATGGAGGAAGCTGTTATCACCTTCTTAAGTGAGCTGAACCGAAAAAGACACCAAGGTGCGTACCGTACGTATATGAGACGAAGAGTTCGCTATGAGATCTTCAAGTAGACAACTCTGCAAGCCTTGCACAAACCTGCTGAAATGACTGTTGCTCGAATTTGTTATAGCCCACAGGAATGATACTGGCGGATGAGGAGCGATTTGTTTATGAAAAGACTTCGCAAACTTGGCCGTTTTTTGTTAAATTTGTAAGATCGATGAGCCGATTTCAGTTTCTTATGGGAAACACGAGATCTGACGCCCTTATTCGTTTAAAAAAAGAAAATGGCATTCTCGGACACATTTTTCCTCAGGCCAGCACTAAACGAGATACAAACGAACAGTCTAATGGCACCATAGTGTGATGTTTGGTTCTGGAGATGGCGAGGGTTGTGCCTGATCAGTTCAATTGGTGTTATAACGGTTTATTCTGTGTTATACAAATGGGTTTCGGCTCCACGTGGTGCCCAATGGTGGTGGTGCCACTTGGGAAACACCAATTTTCTAAGATCTCGAACAAAGCTCGCGTGGCGTAATGGCAACGCGTCTGACTTCTAATCAGAAGATTCTGGGTTCGACCCCCAGCGTGAGTGCTTTGTTTTTTATTTTTTCTCATTTGAAGCTTCTGGCACGTGATCAGAGCGTGAGATTCACTACAATCGTCGACATATGGACAGTTTCAATACGTCAATATGAACCAATTGTAACGCAATAGACCGTTTCGCTAGTGTGAGCGTATGTGACGTTCACACAGTTTAATCTACACGAGAGATCGGATCGCTGTCATCGCTGTCATCGTCAAAGTCGTACATTGTTTATTATTTCCACCGTTTGCACTGTCAAATCGTCACAAGACAAGGTCAGACAACTCTCATCAGTCCTTGAGCTTTGCATAACCTTTCGTAATTGTTTTCTCCACACCCATTCTTTTCTTCTCTAATGTGTTTAGCAAATCCCTAACAACAACTCCAGGTTCTTCTCTTGCTTCCCTGAATCGTGTACTGATGTCATTGGCTGGGGATTTTGAGGATCCGCCTCCCGAGTTCATCCAATCGTACTTCTTCTTCTTACCAGTCATCATGGCAACAGTGGCATTTGTAGCCTTGTGTTGAATTTCCTCGGTGGCCTCCTTTTCGGGGCCTTCATTGACACCACTTTTTTTCTTTCTCTCTTGTCTTTTATCCTCCTGAGACTTTGCCTTCATGTTGAGATCTCGAAGTGCAATGCTCAGTTCAGATCTTCTCTTGCTCTTCACGGAACGGCGTCTATGTCTCGAAAGAATGATAGCTCCAGTTATGATATTCTTCACCCACTCCTCCGTGGCATATGTTATTAGACCAATCAACGATGGGTCAAGTTGAGAAGAGTGCTTGAGGCCATTGGCTGATAGCACTTTACCCATAAACCAGTTAACCTGCTGTGGGTCCAGAAACGGAGTGTCCACAATCACTGGTCCTTTTGGTATTGAATCCTCCTCTGCAGCTTTCTTAGCAAGGATTGTCGAGTTCAACAACGCCTCTTCCGCTTTTAAATCGACACCAGCGGACACCAGTGCGTCGGATAGTTTATCAGGATCACCTCCAGACGGTTTTGTATTGGCGCTATTCTCGTTGTTTGTATTACTATTGCTGCCAGCGTTGGTGCTGTTTGCAGCGTCGTTGTTGGCGGTACTGTTATTGTTCGTTGCACCATTTGCCGTCGAACCCTCCTGTTTAATTTGCGCTTGAGAAGGTGACGGCTCTTGTTTTGCAGCCGTTAGCTGCGACTGTATCTGTTGTTCTTTACTCTCTGACGATGCTGGGACACTAATGTCGGCCTGCAGTTCAATCGACATGAGTGTAGGTGTATCCATTGCCGATACAGACGCTGAAGGCAAATTCGACGGAATGTGTAGCAGCGAATCACCGCCTTCAATCGCAGCCAGCGAAGAGTCTATGTCCCCCTCGAGGATGTCATCCACCGAGGGTGTTCCATGGGAGCTAATGCCAACTTTGGCTCTCTTAGAATCCCCTCCTTCCTGTGGCTCTGAAGGTTGTCTCTTTAGGGGAGAACTTGATTGGCTCATTGTCTGTCTGTCTGTCTGTCTGTCTGTTGGCCAGTGAACCTCTGTGCTGTCTTCTATAAAAAGGCGGGCCTCTTGGTTGAGTCAGTGGTTAATCAATGTACCAGAGCCCTCACACGGAACAGTCTCACGCTTCTCAAGCAGAGCAATCAAGCAAATACACGCAAACGAAGAGGTGCTCTCTTCCCTTTGTCAATGTGTTGATGGAAGCTTTGTTCCGTTTCCCTTGCCAACAACAACAACAACAACAACAACAAATCGCCCACAAAGGCCCAGCGCCGCCAAAAAGGACCGAAAAAGAAAAAGGCACAGCGAGCCGCGAAAATTGCCTCTTTGGTCCTCGAGAGAAAAATTTCCAAAGCGAGCCGCCCATAGCCATCAAAAATTGCAAAAACAAGCACAGAAAGCTCATCTCATCTCATCGCTTCTCGGTGCTGTATACTAAACGCTGTGGAAGCCATAGGGGAAAATGTCGTCCAAACCGAAATTCATCACGTTCCAGGGGTCGAGAAACCTGCGCCATCGCTTTGTGCTGGCGACGCTGCTGGGGAAGCCTATAAAGATTGAAAAGATCCGGTCAGATGACCTGAATCCGGGTCTCAGGGACTATGAGGTTTCCTTCCTCAGGCTGTTGGAAGCCGTCACGAACGGGTGTCGTATTGAGATCTCATACACAGGTACCTCTGTGATCTACTACCCCGGCATCATCACGGGCGGTGCCATCACGCACAACTGCAACTCTGAGAAGTCCATAGGCTACTACATGGAGCCGATGCTGTTCTTAGCGCCGTTCTCGAAGAAGAAGTTCCAAATAGTGTTCAGAGGTATAACCGGGCTCAAAGGTGACACGAGCATCGAAGGGTTGAGATGGGGAATCCTGCCATTGATGGAAAAGTTTGGTGTTCGAGAAGCCGCTATCCACACAGTTAAGAGAGGCTGTCCACCTATAGGTGAAGGTGAAGTGCACTTGGTTGTGGATACGCTGCTGTCGCAGCCTCTGACCATGCACGCGCTGGAGATTCCCAAGATCAATGCTATAAGAGGTGTTGCCTTCTGCGCCAGAGTCTCACCAAGTATGGCCAACCGTATGATCGACAGTGCAAGGGATGTCTTGAGACCCGTGGGCTGTGAGGTGAACATCACTGCTGATGTTTGGAGAGGTGAAAACTCTGGTAAATCTCCTGGCTTCGGAATCGTACTCGTTGCGGAGACCAAGAAGGGATGGAGGTACTACAGCGAGGAGATTGGTGAAGCTGGTGAAGTACCAGAAGATTTGGGCACCAAGGTTGCGTACGAATTACTGGAACAGGTTTCGCATTCTGGTGTTGTGTGCAAGAGTCAACTCGCAATGGCACTGACATACATGGTTATTGGAAAGGAGGACATTGGAAGACTCGTCATCAAGAAGGATCAAATAGACGAGGACCTTGTATGGCTGCTGAGAGATATCAAGCACGTTTTCGGAACAGAGGTTTTCTTAAAAGAGGATGAAGACGATACGTTCATCGCCACTGTGAAAGGTGTTGGATTCGTCAATACGAGTAAGAAGATTGCATAGAATTGATACAATGTACATTAATACAACAGAGATATATGTATGTGTGTGTTTTGTTTCCTCTTTCCTGTGTAGTCAGTCTATGTGTGTGTTTTGTTTCCTCTTTCCTGTGTAGTCAGTCTATGTGTGTCTTGACAGGGGCATGTCATGGAGAGCATTGATCAGCTGTCCCCAGTTATTCGAATGGAGCTCTGAATATTTCATCTTCGTTCTGCTCCATTCCTGGAACACCTTTGTCAATTGGAACTGGGTCTCTTGGAACATGACGTATTCCGTGAGAACAGTCTCCTTTATTAGCCAATCTCTGTTGGTCTGTTCAGCAATCTCCTTTGTATCTTTGGAGATTGCCTCTTGTAGTTTATCGATATCCATTCCCTTGACATCAGCCTTGCCGTTCAACTCTTGTAACCTCTCCTTGTTTGATTCCAATCTCTTCGACAATTGCTCAATCTGATTCCCACCGAGCCTTCTGTATCTGTCAAAGAGAGATTTCATCGATAACAAAACGTCTGCAAATTTCTTGAAATCCTCAGTGGTGTCTTTAACGATCTCATTGCACTGGTCTTCTATGAGTGATCTCGTAGAATCGACGTGCTTGCCAACTATTTTCAAATCGTCACTGATAATGGCAACGTCAACTTGATCAATTTGATACATTCCAGGCAATGCTGTGTTGAAATCTTGGAGGATTTTCTGGAACTTATCTTCATCTTGCGCCACTTGACGGGATCTGACCTCTATTCTCTCAATCAGCACTGCCAATTTGCTCCATCTGTCCAGGCTCGTTTGTAGATCCTTCTCAACGTCGTCCCACATATCCAAGTATGAGTCTTCCCATAGTGCCTGGAACTCCCTTGAGCTCTTCTTATCTTTGAACTCCTCAGTGGAGTCGTACTGTGCTTGCTTTCTCCAGCTAGATAGATCTGTTGGAACTGTCAAGAACATCAACACCAGTGGTTCTTTATTCAACACTGGGTGCTTCATCAACAGGTTCATAAACCTGGCAAGACCCTTACGTCTTCTCTCCAAGAACAGAGAGTCACCATTGGAGGCCAATTTCTTCGGAGGCAAGTCTGGGATCATCCTAAACGGATACTTCATCAGCAACACCTCCAACAGCCATACAAAATCCGAATACCTTCTAACAACCTTGCGACTATTAGTGGAGTCTGAATCTGGCAAGGGGACGAGGTGCTGAATCGCATAGTTTGTGTGTTTGAAGAGGATTCCTTCCTTTTCTGGTATCTCCTCCACAGTGATGATGTCATTGGACAAGGCCTTGTAGCTGCTTCTAATGCCATTGGACCAATTGACGAAATCCAAAGCGGCCACGTTATCATGCTCCGATGAAGCGTTGTGGCCATCGCTATCGTCAAGGATATCTTGTTCCTGCCATGCCTGCGACGATATCGCGTCACTTTCACCTGTGCTCCAAGGATCCTCTGGTGAATACAGCCTGCTCATAGCTCTCACACTGTCTTTCTCTATCAACCAGGGTCGACGTTTGTTGAATTGAAGTGGTTTTAGAAGGGGGGAGGCTTTTGTTTTAGCCTGTTTTCTTGATGTAGGAATTATCGGTGTGCACTTGACAAAATTGAAACCCACCTCAACATGGGAGAGAAGCCCTCTGCTCAAAGCAATTGGCTACGAATCACCTTCTATGAGAGGATATATACAAAATATTGGTGTGTGACTCTATACGATTGTCTATGTAGCAAGAATTTCGCATGTAATGGCCCTACAGCTTAGCCCTACAGCTTAGTTCTCATCTCCTGTCTTCTCAGCTGCGCTGCTCTCTTATCGAATGCCTTTATCACCAAATCGCTGACGCTGTTGGCAAACAGCGAGCTCATCTTGTTGTAGAAGTCAGATTTGAACTTGTACTTCAGCTCCAGCTCCATATCACACGAGTTCTTTCTCGCATTGGGTAAAATGGTCCATTTGGTGTAGAGATGCTCGAAGAGCGAGTGTGTGACGCTCTCAGCAATCACGAGGTGATGCGGTTCACAGTGTAAGTTACACACGAACTCCTCCTCGACGTGTCGCCATCCAACCCGCAGTCCACCTTCCACTGGTGTCTGGGTGGTTTCGTCGTACTTGTTGATGAACGATCTCGTGCAATAAGGTATGAACTCGTGGTACGCGTTGACATCGGACACAACTCTATAGAACAGCTCGGGAGGATGATTCAGGGTCCGTTTGAAAATATGCGATTGTGAGGACTTCAGCAGCCCTTGTAGAGCATGGATGTGCCTTCTCTGGATCATCTTTGCCTCCTTTGCCACCTATTCGACAACCTCAATACGTCTCGCTGTGGAAGTGTGGATGGGCTCGGCAGGCCCTCCCCAGCAATTTTTCAGCGGGCTCCGTTCTCCGGGCTGGGAAATTAGAGAGAGACGGCCTCCCTTCTCGTAGACACAGCAGGACGCTTAATCAGTGGCAACAGGAACAATGTCAATTGATATCAAATGGGAGAATTTAGCAGACGACACACAGATTGTTGATTCTGTTGTGGATGCTCTGAACTCACAGCTTGAGAGTGTTCAATTGCCCGACTATTTGCAGAATGTCCGTGCCACGAGGTTCTCATTAGGGCATATACCCCCCAATATCACAATAAGACACATTGGGGATCCCTTTCCGGAGTTCTCGAGTGACGAGCCTGGTGTGGGCTCTAGAAGGGTCGACCAGGGCTCGAACACCTCCGAGGTTGATACCAATGACGTCCATATTACCGAGGAAGACGAGAGAACCAAGGGAATACAGTTCCTGGTTGAGCTGGAGTATAAAGGGGACATGTGGATTGAGCTCCAGGTGGACCTCCTGCTGAACTACCCATCTCCCGGCTTCATCAAGCTACCAGTGAAACTAAAGATTGTGGACTTGGGAATCCACTCGTTGGCTGTGATTGCACACCTTGACCATCAGGTCTATATAAGCTTCCTCTGCGACGTCAATGACGACGAGTTTGACGATATACTGAAGAACCCAACAGCATCAAGGGGAAAGCGAATCGATATCATACGGAGTATGCACATCGAGAGCGAGATTGGAGACGATCTTGACGGCTCTGTGCTGCGCAACGTGGGTAAAGTAGAGAAGTTCCTTGTTGAGATGATGCGTGGGCTACTACGAGATGAGCTTGGTTGGCCAGGCTGGATCCACCTAGACTTTAGGGATGATGACGACGACGACGACGAAGATCAGGAGCAGGAGGCCGCACCAACCCAGGATGGACAGCACGAAGACCTACACGACGACGCCAGCGATACAACACGGTGAGAACCCACCTCCGCTTCCGGCGTGCTGTGTTCTAATCGCCGACTATTAAACACTTTAAAACACCCTAAAACATGACAAGCAAAACGGAAACTCGGCAGCACATGACTCTACATCCTACGCTTATCAGATCTGGAACATGAGGGCATGTGTATGGCTCCAATCTACGCCATAAAAAGTTTTGTTTTCCA